GGATGAGATTTCAAGCCCTCATAACTGCTGACATGGGGTAGCATTCAGCCTGCAGCCATTTACAAGAAACCTAAGGATTGTGGGAACAGCATGTGGGTTGAGAGAGGGAGGATGTTTTCATTTTATATATTGTATACATTATATATTTTGGTAGCGTTTGAATTAAAAAATAATTGCACAAATTTCTTTTCTTCTAAAAAAATAATAATTGTATTTTTGAGTCTTCCTGGTAAATTTGTATATCCAGGGTTTTCTAGCTCCCTGGTGTCCTTGAGGTATTTCTGTTTTACAGCACACATACATAAACACACACACTTCAAGAATTAATTTAGGGCGGCACCTGTGGCTCAAGGAACAGGGCTCTGGCCCCATATGCCGGAGGTGAGGGGTTCAAACCTGGCCCTGGCCAAAAAATGAAAAAAAAAAAAAAAAGAATTAATTTAGTGTTTTCAAAGGTCTGAAAATCCCTGAAATGACAGGGCTGGTGTACTCAGCAGTGCTTATATATGTGTTTATACATATTTATGTGTATTTTCTAGGGTGTGCACCGGGTCTCACTCTGTCATCATTGTAGCTCACTGCAGCCTCAAAATGCCTGGGCTCAAGTGATCCTCCTCCCTCAGCCTACCGAGTAGCTGGGCCACAGGCATGTGCCACTACGCTTGGCTACTTCTTCTATTTTTTTGTGGGGACTGGGTCTTACTACATTGTCCAGGCTGGTCTTGAATTCCTAGTCTCAAGCAATAGTCCTGCCTCCAAAGTGCTGGGATTACAGGCGTGCACCAACACACCCAGCCTGCTGGGATGCATTTGACGAGGGATTCTGCTTATGGGGAAGCGAGGGACACCTTCCATGGCATGCTTTGGAGCCATTCTCTAGATTATAGTTAGAGCAGGAAATGTCATTTATGTAATCAAAACACCTTCTGTGGCTCCATGCCTGTGGCTCAAGTGGCTAAGGTGCCAGCCACATACACCTAAGGTGGCAGGTTTGAATCCAGCCCGGACCCGCCAAACAACAATGATGGCTGCAACCAAAAAAAAAATAGCTGGGCGTTGCAGTGGGCACCTGTGGTCCCAGCTACTTGGGAGGCAGAGGCAGGAGACTGGCTTGAGCCCAGGAGTTGGAGGTTGCTGTGAGCTGTGAAGCCATGGCACTCTACCCAGGGGGATAGCTTGAGG